TTGTTCGGAAGAACTTTCGACACAAAAGGCACCACCTGCAGATCTTTTTTCGATACAGCCACCATTTCTTCCTTCTCTCCATCCGTAGAAGGGCATTCTCCTGTGACAACCATAATTTCTTGGCTCTTCGATCTTTATACCAAGAATCTGCTTTGCTGGTCCCAAGTCTCTCAAGTCCCAAGTCTTTCATAGCAAAAGACTTACTTAGCTGTTTCTTCAAGCTATTAATTTTGACCAACAGTCACCATATCAAACACATAGAGCAAAAATAATGTAGTCATCATCAGAGAATTTCTTCATAGAAACATAGTGATCTGAAATAGTCTTTCTGTAACCTTGCTACCACTGTCTCAGTGCCTGCTTCAAGCCATACAGGCTCTTCTTCAGTTTGCAAACACAATCCTCTTTTTCTACGAAATCCTCTGGTTGCTCCATGTATATTTCTTCTTCCAAATCTCCACGTAGGAAGGTAGTCTTTCCATCCATTTGCTCGATTTCTAGTTCAAAACTGGCGGCCGTTCCGAGCACTGTCTGAATGAATGCCATTTCATAACTAGTGAAAAGATTAAAATCAATACCCTTTCTTTGATTGAATCCTTTCACAACCAGTCTAGCTTTGAATCGTGGTTGGAAACTGTGTTCTTCCTGCTTGATCCTGAACACCTACTTATTCTTCAAAGCTTTCTTGCCTTTTGGCAACTTTACCAGCTCAAATGTTTCATCCTCATGCAAGGACTTCATTTCATCTTGCATGGCTTCAATCCAGTTCCTCTTGTGTTCATTTTCTATAGCTTCTTCAAAGCTTTTCTCCCCCGTCAGTCGTCAGCGTACATACTCATTGACTGGATATCTAGTTAGATGTTGTCAGACTGTACAGCATCTCTTTACTCCTTCGCGAACCCTTCTTTTTTACGAGCTGGTGCTGGAACATGCAAACACCCACAATCTCATCGGCATTCAATGAACTTTCGGATTTTTCTAACTCTGACAACTCTTATAATCTTTTTCTTCATCTCCAATTTGTTTGCGTCTTTGAGGGACTCTCTGAGCGGTGAGTCCCAGACTATGGCACCTGCTTCAATATCTTCAATAGTCTGATCTTCAACAAATACAGCATCACGATTTTTTATAATCGTCTTCTGGATTGGGTCATAAAACCTATAGCCAAATTGGTCTTGGCCATAGCCAATGAATACACACCGTCTAGTCTTGACATCAAGCTTACACCGTTCATCCTTCGGGATATGCACGAAGGCTTTGCAACCAAACACCAGCAAATGATCATAGAAAACATCCTTTCCTGATCATAACATCCTTTCCTAACCATACTCTCTCTGGAGTATCATACTGTAGAGGGAAACAGAGTGAACGGCGAACTGCTGTGAGTAACGCTTCACCCTCAATCTTTTAGACAACTTTGCATGTGAGAGTAAACATCTGACTCTCTCCATCAAAGTTTTATTCATCCTCTCAGCCAAATTGTTCAGTTGCGGCATCTTGGGAGGTGTCGTTTGATGTCGAATGGCATGCTCTTTGCAGAAAGCATCAAATGGCTCAATGTATTCTCCACCATTATCTGTCCTGATACACTTCAGCTTCTTGCATATGTGTCTCTCAACCAGGTTTAGAAGACTTCAACGTGTATACCCAAGTCTTTCTAGAATGGTCATCGATAAATATCACAAAATATCGATTTCCACCATATGACATTGTCAATGGTCCACACAAATATGAATGAATTAGATTTAATGCATTCTTCATTCTAGAAGGAGGGGTAATCTTGAAAGCTACTCTGTTTAGCTTTCTAGCCATACAATCAGGACACTTGTCTAGGTGAACTTAACTTTCATTCCAATCCAGTTAGTACATTTTCTTTCTTGCCAGAGTTTTCCTTTACTCATGTGGCCCGTATTATCGTTTTATGCCATAATTCAAACTGTTACTGTCATTCTCTGGCTACACTCAAAGGTGTCTTTGGGAGTAGCTTTCGCATGCATCACGTACCAGCCCTCGGTCTTTAGCCTACCACAAATGAACCTTTTGTTGAGCTTCCACTGACCATTTTCGAATCGTGCTACAAGCAAACCTTCATTCATCAAATCTGCCAACCCGAGATTTTGGACGCATGCCCTTTAAAAGCCCATTCCTCATCAGTCTTTCTTCCGGTTTAGTTCAACTTTTAAACACGGGCAAATGGGGGGCCCCCTTTTCTGATTACTATAATGGAGCATCTCTCATTTCTCCATATACGCCATTTAGACTGCATCATTTGCTGTCCATTTTGACTTGTGGCCCAGTGAATATCATCACCAACATAAATCGTATACTGCTGAACAGTAGTATACGTGAATTAGTGACCACATGAATTCAGTAACAGTATACTCGGAATAGTAACTGTATGCCATGAATAGCTAACTGCTACACGTCGAATAGTGACTTATGCGCTAAATTAAGTACTGGGGCTTAATAGTGACAGGCTCAGCAACAGTAACGCCAATAGTAACTATCACCATCAACCACGACGTTTACTATTTTACTATTCATTACTAAGTCGCATTCTGCAACGTCTTCCGAGCGACAGCACCAACAGGACTCGTCGTATTTTCTCTTCATCGTGGTATATTTATTTTCAAAATATATCACGGTATCCCGCGCCTACAGCTATCCCTGACCAGCTAGACCTGCCGAAACACTTCGGCTCTGCATACCACTTTGTTAGGATTATCGACTCTGATACCCAGTCCACGGATCCGGTACCGCTATCTGACCGGCTGGACCTGCCGAAACCTTCGGCTCTGATACCACTTGTTAGGAAATCAGCTCTGATACCACTTATTGGGCCCTTTCAACCAATTAAGAGAAAATAATTACGGCAGTGGAAAAATAGAAATGGGACACACAGAAATTTACGTGGTTCACCCTCAACTCTTTTAGGGCTACGGCCACGGTACAAACTCCGAATCATTCTTCCACTATTAAAACAATAGTAGGTACAAAGAGAGTAATACAAAAATAGTGACACACAAAGTGTTTCCCAAAAACACCCTAATACATTCCTCACTATTTTTCCATCTCCCAGTTTAGCGCAAAAACTTCATCCTAAAAACTCATCAACACTTCCGTTTGCTACCATATTCTCTTTCTTCTTCTGTGTGTTGTTGTGCCGTTCTGCCTCTGCCCTACTTTATTAGGCAGAGTTAACGCGTAGGGAATGCCGCGTTACAACTCTTTCAAGTCTGCACCGCCCCATAGGTGCCAGCAATTCGCAGCAATTCAAAACCATCACTGTTGAACTAGCTGCTCCTATTTTTTTTCTTACTTTCACACATGTGGATCCCATTTAAGTGGGCACACCACAACAGAATTTGAGTGAAAGAACAAAAAAAGGTGAGAAAAGAAAGGGAAAATAAATGAAAAGAGCAATTTTGATATAAATAAAATAGATTTGAGAAATTAGGTGAGCTAATGGGAAAGTTTAGTAAAATTAAGAAATATTTTATTATATTTTAGATGATTTAATTATATTTTTAATACTATGGAAAAATCATAAACAACAAATAAAAGTTGATAGATGAAAAATCATAAACAACAAATAAAAGTTGATAGATGAATAATAAATTTATTAATTCTTGCATTGGTGATACTTACCATAAGAGGATATTCTAGAATTAGTTGATGTATTCATAATTAATCTATAAAATGTTCTAAAATAAATTTATCATTGCAATCAAAATTGACAAGACGAGCATATCAAAATATAGTCTAGTGATAAGTGCATATACGATCCAGTAATAAATTTGAATTTGAATTCATCTCCCTCGATGTTAAAAAAAAAAAGTTAGTAACGCGAAAGAAATCCATGTCTTTATCAAATGGATTTATTCTATTAAATTATGTTTAGCAAATCTTTGATAGATTAAACTTATAGATAAAGTTAATTAAAAAAAATAAAATAAAACAATCACACTTCACTTCTTTTCATATAGAAAAACTCATCAAATCTTAAAAGTAATATCAAACCCACTCATATTATAGAGGTGTATGACATATGACTTCCACCCACTCATATTAATTAATTTCTTAATTTTCTTTTTCGTATGTCTTAAATTATTCGTTCACGATTGCAGGCTCTTTCAATCCTGGCTAGCGGGTCTTATTTTCTTTTTTATAAGTAAATAATATTTAAAATTTATTATTTTATTATTGTTTAATATGTTTCTTTTTCAATAATATGTTAGTTAAACTACTAGTTTATCACTAATAAAATCTTGATTTAAAAAATTAATATATTAACGTTTGATCTTCCACTTATACCTTAGCTAATTGTCTTGTTTATTCGATAAATAACTTGTAATTTTGTTAATACTTTGGTCTTTTGATCAAAATTGTCTCTATTAACTATCAATTGACTGAGAAATTGATCTCTAATTTATATTCTTGCTAACTATGAAGTCCCTAATTTATTGTTTTCATTAACACTTTGGTTCCTATGTCTTGCACTTTTTGTTTTAATTTTGCTATAATTTCAAAATTGGAATGAATTGAAAAAATAAAAACATTAATTATGAGACCCAATCCTGCTACATGAATTAATTTAATGCACATAATAAAAATAATTTAAAAAAAACACTGTGTTTGCATAAAAATCCTATAGTTGACATTCTCGCTTCTTCTTTGTTGGATCTATTCAAAGATTTTGGTACCAAAGGTGAGTATTCACTCTTCTATAAACATAATACCAAAATGTGATTAGAATTTCGCTTCTAGTATAAACATAATACCAAAATGTGATTAGAATTTCGCTTCTAGAATTTTATGCAACTTATCATTTAATATTATCTGAAAAATAATCATATAATATTTAATGAAGATTAAAAAAAAAATTCAATATGTTCCCAAGAAAATATCATCTGACAATTTTTCATGTTTTCCTTCTTATTTTAGGTTAATATGGCCTTGATGCAGCAAAAGAAAGGGTTGATGCAGCAAAAACGCAAAAACGTTTGGAGCGAGATTAGTCTTGGAAGCAGCAACTAGGAAATGGGAAAACCAAAGCAATCAATGTGGAGGCTTTCTCTCGTACACTTCCTGTGTATTTAAGCTCACTGTCTAGGATAATTTTATAATGGTGTATTTTGTTTGGTGAGGACTGATGTGGGAGGAGGGGATGAAAGGATTCAGCCTTACCTTCAAAAGCTTGTCTACAATTGAGGAGGAAAATGAAGGGAATATAAAAGAAAGAAAAATTTATAACATAGTTGTGTTGGACTGCAAAGTTTTCCTTAGATAAGGTGCAAGTTATAGTGTAAGATAAACTCATTTAAGTTTTAATAGTTTTCTGATCTGATCTTTGTGATTAACTGCAAAGTTTTCCTTAGATAAGGTGCAAGTTATAGTGTAAGATAAACTCATTTAAGTTTTAATAGTTTTCTGATCTGATCTTTGTGATTATTCTCATTTGCTTCTTCACAGGATGCTGTTTTAATTCTACCTTGAGTAATGGGTTTTTCAGCATTATTCCCTGCTTTGATGATAAAATATTAATGGAACCAAAGATTTACCAACCTAAAGGCTGATTATTAAGGTAAAGGATTTTATTTGGATGGTATGAGCCTGTTGTGCCATGCACATCAACCTTTCTAATATGTTCATCCTTTTATCTTTTTTCCACGTTCTGCTCTCCTTCCAGCTCAATTGGATAATATTTTCCTTTGTTATTTTGTATTGGTAGGTTATTCTACATTGCCATGTTAAGCAACTCTGTTGTCAAAACAAAGGGGTAAAGATATATGTAAACTAAATAGAATGAGCAAATACATCACATTTTAAATTGCATATTGTCTTTTCTTGTAATGCCTTCTTGTTTTGGATTCTATATTTCTATGTCATCTTTGATTCTTTTGGCAATTACTTTGCAGCACCGTGATATCCCTTCTACTTTTCCTTTACTCTCTGCTGCCTATGTGTATGCCACAGGCATTAGTATCACTTATCTGCATACTGCTTCATTTTTAATTATCTAAAACTTAATACTTTCATCCGGAGTAGGTTTCGTAAGTTCTGAACCTTTCCTGCATCTGTTTTGTGGCTGTGTTCCTGTTTAGGTTTTACATTTGAAGCCAACAATGGAAGTCTTAAATCCTTGAACATTGGTTTCAGGAATCTGCAAATTGGATCCAGAAAAGGTAAAATAGCCTTAACCCCCTGTTTAGTGTAAATGATTTGAAATATAAAATTCATGTAGAAATAGTAATATTTGGTTCAGTTAAAATTGAACTCCATGAAGTTGAATTGATGAGAATGAAATGTGCTTCTTTTTAATTCATAAAAGTTCTGAAAACATGAAATTTCAAATGAATTACACATATTTTCGGAATTCACTTATACCAACATACTACCATATTTTCAAGGGTAGCTGAATTTTTCTTCTTGTATTAATACTTCCAATACTTGTGACTGTATTGTGATACAAAATTAGCATCGCTTGCAGGCCAAAGCTGCCAAAGCTGCAAATTGCTGTTCCTGCACCAAAATTGGTCAGAAGGTGCTACTGGACAGGGGCAGATCCCACTGAAAGGAATTCTACGAACATCATCAGGTTCTTGTATAAAAAAAATAAAAAAAAAAAAGGAAAAATATAGGTTAGCGATGAATTTATGAATGAGCTGTTCAGTTTATTTTTCATGTATAGTGGTTATCTATCTATAATATATATAAAAGTACGAATGGGGACATTGGATTCTTAAAATGTCCTGTGGACTTTTAATTTTATTAGTTGATTAAAAATGTAATTAAGGATAATTTAGTCCTATTCTAATTAAGAAATAAGAAATTTTAATTTTATTGTATTTTATTAATTGATTTAGTTTCATTTTAATTAGAAAACTTTTAATTTATTGATTTATACATTATATTAAAAATATCGTTTAGTCTTATTCTAATTAGGAAATTTTTAATTTCATTGACTAAAAAATTAAAATAAGATATAATAATATAAAATAATTTTTAGATGTTTAAATAGACTAATACCTACACGTATTAGTACACTAGAAAACGAAAAAATAAAAAATAAAAATCTTTTAATTCACTTGTATTGATCCTAATTGTTAAATTATACAAGAAACGGAAAAAAAAGAAGAAGTTATTATTATTTCTTTTAAAGAAAATCATTAAGAAATATTAAATATCAACTAAATAATTAAGAAATATTAAATATCAACTAAATATATAGGAATATTAAATCAATTAGGAATCTTAATATTAATCTAATTGACCTAAAATCTCATTATAAATAGGCCCTTTAGAGCTGATTGAGAGAACAAATGTTGAGAGAAAGCAAACATTACCTCAGAGGATCAAATGACTGTGATTTTCTCAAAATAGTTGGAATTTTCAGTTAATAAATTTGAATAATGTAAGTGTATTTCGTCTCTTGGAATTCTAATGATTCACTATTTTTTATTTCTTTTATTTTATTTTATTAATTGATTTTCTTCTTCAATTTTTCACATTATAAATTTGTTATTGTTTGTGAAAAAGTTTAGAATATTTGTTATTATTTTATTTTATTAACTATAGGTACGCATATTAATAGCTTGGAATAATTCTATTAATGTGTTTATGCATATTAATTTAAAATTGACTAATTTAATATAAACTACACTTCAAAAATAAAGATATAATGAAACACACTATTATTTACTATTATTTGTTAAGTAACATATTATAAGATTATAAGATTTATTGTTTTGATGAAATAATATACAATAATCTTATTAATTAAAAATATTAATTTGGATTAGGGGAATTAGATTTCAAAACTAACATACCATGATATATGAATGAACTCTTAACACTAGGCTCTGCGGGATGTCCATTGTACATACAAGACATGTTGAAATTTTGAGTTTTTTTTTTTTTTTTTTAAGGTTTTTTTTTTTTTTTTTAAGTTCAATATTCATCGTAATCGCGGAGGTATTAATTATTTTACTCTTAATATTCTAATTAAATTTTATTGTTTAGTAATAAATATAAGTTTGTTTGTTTTTTATAGATTATATTTAGTTCTTGTAACTTTTTTTTCTCAAGTTTTTACATATTTTTGAATTAGACGACCTAATTATTATTATTTTTTAGTTTTAGCATTGCAATCGTGTTTTGGTACCTTTTAGATTCATAAAGGACAAATATTAAAGAATAAAAAAAATTAATTTAAGCATATAAAATAAATGTACCTTGTTTCATATATTCTATTTAACATTTTAATTAATTAAGTTTATTTAATATTTTAATTAATTAAGCTTCTAGATTGACAAAAATATCATTAAGAGCTTTAATTTTATTGGTTGAAAAATAAAAACAGTTTAATTTTGATTGGTTATGTCAATTTTCTATTTAAATCTAAATTCTATTAAGGAGAATGGGGGAGAGAAACACTGGGTTCCTAAACATCCCTATCAAGTTTATGTATTAACAAAAGTATCATTAAAAACTTTAATTTTATTGGTGGAAAAATAAAGGTAGTTTAATTTTAATTGTTTATATTAATTTATTAAAGTTTCATAAAGAAATATTATAAACAACCTTATTTGATTTATAATATTTTATTATTATTATTATTATTATGTTATTTTTCATCAACATTAAACTGATAACAATCAGTATTATAGGGAGTAAACTTAGATGTTGCAAATCAAATCATATAAAACAAAATCATAAAGCAAAAAGATAATGTAGCTTTCAAGATTTGGGTCCGCCGTCCGGATCATGATTTTCCTTTATTTTTTACAACAAATACACATAAATTCAAAATGAAAATACTTTTTCCTAGATAGTAAATATTAAAAAAGGAAAATTTTAACATGACACACTGTATGAAAAAAATAATTTTTTAAAAATCACTCATTTATATTCACAATCAAATATCTTTCTATTTAAAACACATCTAGAAGATTGTATTCAGTAAAAATTTCTCAATCCTTAAGGTAGGAATATAAAAATCGACAAAAATTAGCCTTAAATAAGAAAGCATTTTTATTTATTTTGTAAGCAAAAACTAACACAAGATATACCAATTTACATAAGAAAAACCCTAAATTTTCAATATTTTTAGGCTAAAAATATGAAAACCGATAAAAATTAGATAAAAATAAAAGAAATATGCAGTCTCAATTTCGAAAGTTCACATATATACAATCAACATTCAACCATCAAAATTAGAGTTGAATTCTCCAATTAAGAACTGCACAGGTAGAAAAAATAAGTAAACATAGATTTATATATAGCAAATTCTCAAATTAAGAACTTGCACAGGTAGAAAAAATAAGTAAACATAGATTTATATATAGGCCAATTATAGATTCAACCCAGGAAAAAACAAAAAAAGGAATACGAACAAAGAAGGATTAAGTTACACAAATACAATTTTTACAAGGTCGTTCCCAATAATTGTTATTAATACACATAAATTTTTATTATTACATTTACTTTTTTCTATAATTAATCTATATCCAATTTTTAATTAATATATCTTGTTGTTTTTCTTAAAAAATTTTTCTTAAAAAGTTATATAATTATTGAATTTTTGGCTATTAAAAACTAATTATTATGAATTATTTAAAATCTAAATTTATAAAATTACCCTAAATTGTTTTGGTCACATTATAAATTTAGGACCTGTTGTGCTCTTAACGTCAAAGTTTATTATCTATATCACATCCTCTCAATTTCAAAATGATATGGGTGCTTATAAGTCCATATTCATGGACGGAGACATTGATTTTACTAATTCAAATCTGATATAAAACCTGTCTATTTTGCATACAAAGTGAAGAATGTCTATTTTGCATACAAAGTGAAGAATAGAAAATTAAAGTATTATTTTAATTATTAAATACTCTTTCAATCCATAAATATAAATTATTAAAATAATTTTTTAAAATTATAAAAATAATTCATTAATTTAATTAAATTATTTTTTAAAAAATTGAAATTAATTATCATATCTTTTACGGGTAAAATTGAAAAATTTTATTAATTACTGTTAGATTTTTCACAACCAATCGTATTTGTAGAAACAAAATTATTATATTATGGAGACATGAAGTAATAAAATAATCCTCCTCCAGACTAGGCTTTTTGGATGCTGATCACGTCGAGGTCATTTGGTCCAGTGTTATACAATATGTAATTCCCTCCTTTTTAAAAGAAAAAATAAAATACTAACATTTAATAATTCAAGGGCCCACGATCCAAAATGCAGGAGCACCGCACCGCCACCGAGGTTGTTGTATGATGTATCATAGTCGATCATGACACATCACATCATTTGATTGAGATGAAAGACTTAAATATAAAATTAAATATTACAAATTATATCACAGGACTTTGGCTCGCTGGGTTCCTCGTTAGTCCTACTTCTATATATGACACGGTACGAAGCTATGAAATGCAGAGTAACACCAATAATCCGCCATGACTGAACCTAAAAGGCTTCATGTAGCTTTCTTTCCATGGCTAGCATTCGGCCATATGATCCCATTCCTCGAACTCGCCAAACGCATAGCCCAGAAGGGTCACAAAATCTCTTTTCTATCTACTCCTAGAAACATTCAACGTTTGCCAAAAATCCCTCCAAATTTATCATGAAAACATTCAACGTTTGCCAAAAATCCCTCCAAAATTTATCATCCAATATAAATTTCATAAGGCCTTCCCTACCTCAGGTTGACAATCTCCCCCTGCCCTGATGCAGAGGCCACCATAGACTTACCCTTCGATAAAATTCGATACCTTAGAATGGCCTATGATAGCCTAAAAGACCCTCTGGTTCAATTTTTAGAAACTTCCGCTCCAAATTGGGTGATTTACGACTGTTTCCCTTACTGGTTACCTCCTATTCTGGCCGATCTTGGGATCTCCAGTGCCTTCTTTAGTATTTTCGGTGGTTGGACTTTAACTCTGGCCGATCTTGGGATCTCCAGTGCCTTTTTTTAGTATTTTCGGTGGTTGGACTTTAACTTTCTGGGCATCACCGTCATTGGCCATGATTGACGGCGATGATTCAAGATTTCATCCAGAAGACTTCACTGTCCCTCCTAAATGGATCCCGTTTCCCTCGAAAGTCGCATATCGACTCCATGAAGCAAAGAGAATTCCCCATCGTTTCGAGGTAGACAAGTCAGGTATTCCCAAACACATATTTCGATCATCAGTTAGTTCAGTAATGGCGAGTAGTGATATTATAGCTCTTCGGAGCTGTTTCGAGCTAGAAGCTGATTTTTTAAGACTTGTTAGAGAGCTTCATGGTAAGCCTGTGTTTCCAGTAGGTCTACTGCCACCTTTAACTCTAGATGGCAATGGTGATGAAGATGATACGTGGCTTAAAATCCGAGATTGGCTAGACAAGCAAGAAAAAGGGTCTGTAGTATACATAGCATTTGGAAGCGAAGTGGATTTGAGTCAGAACGAGTTCACTGAGTTGGCACTCGGGTTAGAGCTATCAGGTTTGCCATTCTTTTGGGCTTCAAGGAAACGGAACGATTACTCGGCGGAGTTGCCAGATGGGTTCGAGGAGCGAGTTGAAGGACGTGGAATGTTTTGGACGAGTTGGGTACCTCAACCAAGAATCCTGAGTCATGAATCGGTTGGAGGGTTTTTGACTCATTGTGGTTTTAGTTCAATTATAGATGCTCTATATTCTGGACGTGCTTTGATTATGTTGCCTATTACTTTTGACCACGGTTTAATTGCTAGGGTTTTTGAAGACAAGAAAGTCGGTGTAGAGATAACAAGAGATGAGGAAGATGGGTCTTATACAAGGGACTCGGTGGCTGACTCAGTGAAATTGGTTATGGTTGAGGAGGAAGGAAAATTGTATAGAGAGAATGCAAAACAGATGTCGAAGTTATTTGCAAATGAAGAACTACATGATCGTTATATTGACCAATTCGTTGAGCTTCTACAAACTCACCGAGTTGGGTGCACTGAGTCCCCGGTTTTCTAATTATTCCGGTGAATTGGGAGGGGCAGCATGTGCCTGTATTTAGTGTGCAAGAGTCGATAATAATGAGATACATATGCTGCTAGGAACTGTATTAATATAAATTGTTTTAATTAATAAAGTAAATATAAAATAATTTGATTGTTTTTCTTTTAAAAAAAAAGGAGGAAAAAAATTAATTGCTTAGCAATTAAATCAAATTTTCCCAGACTCCCAGATTGGTAGGTTTGTGCAAAATAATGGTTTTTACTAATATAGTGCTTTAAGTACTAATTGTTTTTTTAATTGAAAAATAGATTTGGTTCAAACACTCTTAATTGATTCTCATACTTTTCCACAGGTTGGTCTCTAAATTATCCTCCAACTGGTAAAGTTTCATTTTGCAAAGTTTTGTCCCTACCTTCAATTAAAACAAGGCCATTTTAGTATTTTCACTCCTGCTAAAGGATATTTTTTGATACAATATCAGCCACGATTAGCCCAAGGTTTTGCTCATCATGATTTTCATTTTTCAATATAGGGATTTTCTACAAGCAGCTTGTAGGCTTCTACATTGGTCCTCTGTTAACCATGAATGAACATAAAAAGCTCCATATTGCTCTGTTTCCATGGTTAGCGTTTGGTCATATAATCCCATTCCTCGAGCTCGCCAAGCTTTTAGCCAAAAGAGGTCACAAAATCTCCTTTATTTCTACCCCTAAAAACATCCATCGTTTGCCCAAAATCCCTCCAAATTTAGCAAACCTTGTCCATTTAGTGACCCTCACTTTACCTTCTGAGGACCATCTCCCCCCTAATTCAGAGGCCACCACTGACATTCCCACGCACAAGGTTCCATACCTCAAGAAAGCCTACGATAACCTGCAATGCCCTCTGCTTCAGTTTCTAGAAACTTCTACTCCTGATTGGATTATTTACGACTTCGCACCTTTACCACTGACATTCCCACGCACAAGGTTCCATACCTCAAGAAAGCCTACGATAACCTGCAATGCCCTCTGCTTCAGTTTCTAGAAACTTCTACTCCTGATTGGATTATTTACGACTTCTCACCTTTCTGGTTACCTCGTATTACGGCCGATCTCGGAATCTCAAGTGCCTTTTTCAGTATCTTTGGTGGTTGGACTCTAACATTTTTTGGATCATCATCGGCCATGATTAACGGTGATGATCTACGGACTCAGGCAGTGGACTTCACCGTTCCACCTAAGTGGGTTCCTTTTCCCTCAAAAGTCGCGTTTCGGTTACACGAGGCAAAGAAACTGTTGAGTCATGTTCAGGTGAATGATTCGGATAGCTCCGATGGGTTTCTTTTGGGTTCAGTAATGGCAGGTTGTGATGTTATAGCTATACGGAGCTGCTTATGATTCGGGTTGCTCCGATATGTTTCGTTTGGGTTCAGTAATGGCAGGTTGTGATGTTATAGCTATACGGAGCTGCTTCGAGTTGGAGGGTGACTTTTTAAGGCTTGTCGAACAGCTTCACGGCAAGCCTACGCTTCCAACAGGTCTGTTACCACCTTCAGATCCCGATGTCAATGGTGAAGAAGACGAGACGTGGCGTATAATCAGTCAATGGTTAAACAGTCAAAACAAAGGATCTGTTGTTTACATAGCATTCGGGAGCGAGGTGGAAGTGAGTCAACAGGAATTAACTGAGTTGGCATTTGGTTTAGAGTTATCAGGACTTCCCTTCTTTTGGACTTTAAGGATAAAAGATAACTCACTATCTCTCGGGACTGCCGGAATGATTTGAGGAGCCGAGTCCAGGGACGTGGGCTAGTGTGGAAAACTTTGGGTACCTCAACTCAGAATTCTAGTCATGGAATCGCGTTGGTGATTTTGACTTCCACTGTTGGCTTATAGTTCAATTTTCTAGAAGCACTCTATTTTGGCACGAGCTTTGATTATGCTGCCCATTTGCTCTGGACCAAGGGTTAATTGCATAGAGTTTTGGAAGAAGAAGGTTGGTTAGAAATAACCCAGAGATGAGCAAGCATGGGTCTTTTACAAGGGACTCGGTAGCTGAGTCAATGAGGTTGGTTAATGGTTGATAAGAGAGGAAAAGAATACACGAGATGCTGCAAAGGAGCATGCAGGAGTTATTTAGCACGATAAAGATCTCCATGACTAGTATTACGTATTATCGTTTTGTTGGGTTGCTGCAACATTTCATCGAGTTACTTGTAAATCGAGTTACTTGTAATTTAAATTGACTCAGTTCTTTGAACGATTTCTTCATGACTCAGCAGTAAACAGGGGCTTCATGGTCGAATACTGTACCAGTCTATAATGTGGATTTTTTTTTGGTAGAAAAAAAATTATTTAGTTCCTATGGTTTGCAACAATTGCACGAATTGTTTGTTGTATTATTTATGCTAAATTTATGCTAAAAAGCAAAAGTTTTTTTTTAATAACATGATTAATGTATTTATGCTTTTAACATATTATTTTTTTATTCCCGTGAAATTAATTATTTATATTACCAATAAAATTACTTTTAACATAAATAAGTATAATGGGAAAGGGAAAATGATTTTTTTCACTAGAGAAAATAAGAGGATGGACTTGAATTTCAAAATACCATTACATCGTGAAAAAAAAAAAAAAGTCTTTCATGATTTCTTCGTACAATTAAGACATTCTACCACTAAATCATTTCAAATATTTATTATTTAAAAGGCATATATATATATATATAATTAAATAAATTTATAAATTATAAATAAATAAAATAAAAATATTGTTAGATAGATATATAAAACCATATTTATAAGGAAAAATTATGGTAAATAAGTGTATTGGAGTAAATATTTTTATAATTATTATTTTGATATAGTTAAAAATTATGGTAAATAAGTGTATTGGAGTAAATATTTTTATAATTATTATTTTGATATAGTTAACTATGTAATTTTCTAGGGCTCATGTCTGGAATAATTAACTCAGGTTGACAGTTTGTTCCCATTAGTGATTTTATCAGAGATTGAACTCTTATCCTTAAAAAGATGGTATCAGCTGTCGATTCTTCATAAGTAAAAAAAAAAACATTCCCTTTTTAGTTTCATTACAAAATAACAGTGCAGAGGGCAGCAATCTAGTTATGAGAATGTGAGCTGTCAATCATTTTCAAGGTCCATCGATCCGAATTTGAATATCAGTACATAAACCTAAGGGGACCTTTCTCTTCTTTTTGAAATGAACATACGGTGCTATCTCTGCTCATTAATAACACAAGATCATCGACTTGCTCGCTAATAAGCCAACTGTATAGATAAGGCTTAATAGTTACATTCTGTTATATTTTGATATGTATTTAGCTGTGCTTTCATTTATTTCTTGTAACAGAATTATAAAGAGATAATTGTGTATAAATATTAAACATAATGGAACAGTAAAGTATCTTTCTGCTTCCTATCTTTGTGCCACACTTTTATGGTATCAGAGCCAAAAACCTATTAGGTTTTTATTTTAGATCTCCACTTATTTTTCTCTTCAATGGCTTCCCCTTCAAACTTGCCAAATATTGTTCATTCCTCTGGAAGAACACTTGTGTCCTTTAATTCAACTCAATTTCCTCTGAAATTGACTCAGCAAAACAGTTGTCTTTAATTTTCAACTTCAATTTCCTCTGAAATTGGACTCAGCTCAAAATTACCCCTACCTTGGGGCGTGCTCAAGGTTCAATGCCTGTTTTCAAGGCGTCTATAATCTGATGGGATATGTTGATGCGTTTCTTTTCCCATGTCCTGCTTTTGAAATCATACGTTCAAGGGTGAAAAGGATGAGGTGTTTAATACTGATCATGATTTTTGGGTTCTGTCAAGATCAATTTAATCTTGAGGCTGCAATTATGTGCTAATCAACAATCCTTTTCGTACAGCAATTGCATCTTGCTGATTCCCTCTGCTCTCCACATCTGCTGATGCGTCGGGACGGAAAAATTCGAGTCTCTTGTGCCAACCGTAATGCAACACGTTACGGATATTATTCCCTTCGTGGATTACACTATGTTCTACTAACGGATATTATCCCTTCGTGATACACTTTCTACTTTCAAAAGAGAGTCAAGACCTGTGGCTGAGTATTTACAGACTGTGAAGGCCATCTCTGAAGATCTTTCTTTGTCTGGAAGTCCAGTTTTTGATATTGATCTGGTCATACATGTATTGAATGGAGTTGGACCAGAATTCCGTGATATTTCAGTAGCGGTAAGAGCTCGTGATTCTATTATCTCTTTCGTAGAGTTACAGGAAAAGTTAATGGCTCATGAACTTTATTTGAAGAAAATTGATTCTTCATATGTTACGATGCCAATCACTGCACATAATGTTAGGCGAGGGCCATACTCTAGACAGAATGTTCAAACATCATAGGGCTTTTCGAATGATAGGTTTGCTACTTCAGGTGGTTCTCGGTTCTTGACTGAGACAAATTCACGGTCTACAAAGGGAGCTGGTAATTCGAAAATATTGTGTCAAATTTGTGAACGGCCTGGTCACATTGCCAAACAATGCTTGCGAGCAAAAGATTTTTTCAAGGATCATTTTAACCAAAGGCAAACAATGTTGTTGCCAATGATAGACAAAGCTGGGTCATGGATACAGGAGCTAAGCATCATGTCACTAATGATTTGCAAAATCTCTCACTTCATGCTCCCTACGAAGGCCTTGATGAACTTCATTTAACAGATGGTACAGGTTTGAGAATTACACATGTTGGGTCTAAATCATTATCTTTTCCTTCGAAAACTTGTTACTTGTTCCTTAATTGAAGTTATATTCGTTCCCTCGTTCAAAAGGTTCCTCGTTCAAAAGAGAATTTAATTTCTATCTCTGCTTTTTGTCTAGCCAATAATTTTTCAATTGAATTCTTTTTTGATTGTTTCCTTGTCAAGGATCTGTCCACGGGGGAGATAATCACAAAGGGATGCATTAAGGATTCTCTATATCGTCTCTCATCCATTTCGAAAGGTCAATCATCATTTCCATTTGCAGCTCAGTCTTCTGTTCGTGAGTCTTCTTTTGTTTGGCATCAGCGTCTTGGTCATCCAGCTACCAGAATTAGTCATTATGTTTTGTCTCAATTTCGTTTATCTGAGTCATTTAACAGCGTTGATTGTCATTCCTGTTTATGTAATAAAAGTCACAGACTTGCCTTTGGTGTTTCATCGCTTAAAAGTTCAAAACCATTAGAATTGTTATATTCTAATTTGTGGGGACCTGCCCCTGTGCAATCCTTTGATGGATTTAAGTATTATTTGATTTTTGTCGACCATTTTTCAAAGTATATTTGGTTTTATCCTCTTAAGGCTAAATCGAATGTTGCTTCAGTGTTTCCAACTTTCCAAAAGCTTGTTGAAAATATGTTTTTGGTACTAAATTATATCTATTTATACAGATGGGGGGGAGAGTAGGGGGGGGGGGAGAGTATATTGCCTTAAGGAAAATGTTTCAAAACCATGGAATTTCTCATTTACAAACGCCTCCTCATACACCTCAGCATAATGGAGCTGCTGAGCGTCGTCATAGGCATGTAGTAGAAACTGGATTAACATTGTTGCAGTCCGCTTCTTTATCATTTGAATTTTGGACTTATGCTTTTCAAGTTGCTGTTTATCTCATAAATAGGCTGCCAACACCAGTGCTTAACATGTCTTCTCCTTTCTTTAAGCTTTTTCAATAGCAACCTAATTATACTAAGCTTAGAATATTTGGCTGCCTCTGTTACCTGTATTTAAGGCCATATACTCGCAATAAATTTGAAGCTAAATCACAACTGTAACGCCCTGATTTTTCTGTGTCTAAAATAATAGTTTTACCGGTCTGTGAATAGGAATGTGAATAGTACGCACCGGTCTGGGATAGTACCATCAGCCAGGAATAAGTATTATTTTGGTCCGGAAAAAATTATAATTTATGTTTTTATATTTTAAATTTAACATTTTTGAGCATGTATGCCATGGTTTTTTATGGATAGAAAGTAAAGTAAGGAAATATTTTTGGAGATTTAGATAATAGTGAATAGTCTGAATATAGTGTTATATAAGTAAGGAAAATTTGAGCAATTATTTTATGAGGAAATTTGAGGAAATTATTTTATGGGAAATTAAATTGAGAGGTTTGTTGGATTAAATAATATTTTGATAGGAATTTAATTGGGAGAATATTGGAGCAAGACCCAAAACCCCTCCAATTTTGGGAAAAGACCAAAAATACCCCGTAGTGCTTTATATGTTTCAACTCCTCAAATATGAAGCAACACTTTCTCTTCTTCTTCTCCTCCATTTCCAACCGCAACTTCTGTGACCTCTCTTCT